TAGGTTATTCCAGTACCCACGTGAACGTGGGGTGATGGGGTACATGGTGATGTGTGTGCTTCAGGGGTACATGGCGATGTGTGTGCTCCAGGGATGCATGGTGATGCGTGTGCTCCAGGGGTACATGGTGATGCGTGTGCTCCAGGGGTACATGGTGATGCGTGTGCTCCAGGGGTACATGGTGATGTGTGTGCTCCAGGGGTACATGGTGATGCGTGTGCTCCAGGGGTACATGGTGATGTGTGTGCTCCAGGGGTAGGTACATGGCGATGTGTGTGCTCCAGGGGTACATACATGGCGATGTGTGTGCTCCAGGGGTACGTACATGGCGATGCGTATGCTCCAGGGGTACATGGTGATGCGTGTGCTCCAGGGGTACATGGCGATGCGTGTGCTCCAGGGGTACATGGCGATGCGTGTGCTCCAGGGGTACATACATGGTGATGTGTGTGCTCCAGGGGTACATACATGGTGATGTGTGTGCTCCAGGGGTACATACATGGTGATGTGTGTGCTCCAGGGGTACATGCATGGTGATGTGTGTGCTTCCGGGGTACATGGTGATGTGTGTGCCCCAGGGGTACATACATGGTGATGTGTGTGCTCCAGGGATACATACATGGTGATGTGTGTGCTCCAGGGGTACATACATGGTGATGTGTGTGCTCTAAGGGTACATATATGGTGATGTGTGTGCTCCAGGTGGCACAAGCAGAGGCTGGAGGACTTGGTCTCTTAGGGAGCAACCGTCTTGCAGAACTTGCCTTCCCTTTAGTCCATCATTAGGGCATGCCCAGAGAAGGTGCCTCGGAGGGGCGATACGCTACAGCCACATCTCAGAAGCACTTAACAGCAAAGGTGGGCGTGAGACGGGGTGTGATGTGAAATACGGGGTTCGGTGGAAAGCAGTCTTGCGGGAGTGCTCTGTTGCTCTGGCGAATGAAATGTTGACAGCAAACGCAACCATCTTCAAGTTCTGCAGAAGAGCGTGTTTTTCGGGGCTCCGTTTACTGTGATAGCATGAAGCTAATTGCAGTGATAACAGGGGATTTATTATCGTTTAACCAGGGTTGTCTTTTACTGAAGAAGCTTAGCCCAGGACTTCACCCACATGTCTAAAGAATTAAACCGAGATCATCATGAAGCAAGTAATGGCAAGTGCGATGGCTCGGGGTCATTCACAGTCAGGAGGTGAATTCCTAGGTCTTCCGTGAGGCCTGTCAGCGCGGGAGGAGCAGGAGGAAGGAGATTCAGCTCCTCACCAAGGTCGTGAGGAAGCTGGCCCATCGGGGCACACTGGGCCTGGGCGCCCTCAGCAGTTTTAACACTGCACTGTACACCATTCCTCCGCCTCTTCTGACATCTCTCTGGGGAAGGAAGCAGAAGGACACGGGCGAACAAGGCCCACAGTCCGGATGTTGGCGTGTAGCTCGGACCCTCCTGGTTACTGCGCTGCCCAGCAGTCCGTCCGATTCCTGTGGCGGTCAAGGCAGCTGGAGGGAGGACGACAGCGCAAGGAATTCCAGGGCCCCGGTGATGAGGTGGCAGCGTCAAGAAAAACTAGGTCTTCAGACTTCTCACACATAGGGCTCTTTACTACTCCACTACACTGCGTCTCTCTCTCTCTTTTTTTTTTTTTTTATCCTCACCCGAGGACATTTTTCCATTTTTTGTTCAGATAGAGTGGGAGGGAGAGAGAGGAAGAGAGAGAGAGAGAAACATCGATGAGAAGAGACACATCGAGTGGCTGCCACCCGCACGACCAACCAGGGCCGGGGACAAACTGCAACCGGGGTACATGCCCTTAGCAGGAACCGAACCCGGGTCTCTCTGTACCGCAGGCCGACGCTCTAACCGCTGAGCCAAACTGGCCAGGGCCACTGCGTCTCTCTTTAGGATTTAGTTTTAAATGTGAAAAACTCAGCAATTATTTTTCTTTTGTGAGCCGTTAATCTGTGCAGCTGCCATGCCCCCGTGTAGGGCTCAGCCCCTCGAGGTGGGAACAGAGCCCAGAGTGGGAGTAGACCACACTGACGTCATAGCTGACCTCGTCTTGAATGTTGAGGCTGCGACATCCCGCAACCTTTCTGCATTTCGTTTTCTCTCTCCTTCGTCTGCGTTACGTCCCGGAGCCGACTGTGGTGGAGGCGCCTGGCTGCCTGTCTCCTGGCCGGGTCACAGTGGTGCCGGTTTTCTAGACCGCCAGCGGTCTGTCCCTGACCACGCGTCCTGGTTTCGCTACCTTTGTGGGTCTCAGGAATTGTGTTTAGGCCATTTTCTGTGTAATGACACGTCCAACTTTATATAGGAACTTAAGAGCTGGTAGATTCTCCAGGTCCCTCCATGTCGTCTCAAAGGATAAGAGATCTTTCTTTCTTACAGCTGCATAGTACTTCGTTGTGTGTATGTACCACTGCTTTTTAATCCACTCCTCTACTGCTGGGGAGTGTTATGCTAAGTGAAACAAGCCAACCAGAGAAAGACAAATACCACACGATCTCACTTATTTTTGGAATATAATGAACTAAACAAACTGATGAACCAAATTAACCCAGAGACATAGAGGTGGGGTACAGACTGACAAGCCTCAGAGGAAGGGGGGTTTGTGGGGGAAGAGATAAACCACAGAACTTACATACATGTATGCATGACCAATGAACATAGACAACAAAGCTGGGGATGGGGCACCAGGGAAGGGGAGGAAGGTGTCAGTGGGGGAAAAATGAAAAACATCTGTAACAAAAACAAATTAATAAATATATTTTTTTTAAAGTGCTAGTAGATTGTAGCAAACATTTTTAAAAAATATTTTAATTGATTTTTAAGACCCAGAGGCATATAACTTGTTATTAAAGGTATAATGTCTAACCACTTCATATGTCTTAAGCACCAGTTTTAACTAAATTAAAGTAATAGAGCTTGTCTTTCTTTGAAATCCATTCAAGATTCCCAATAGACTTCCATTTTCTACCTCATTCATTCATTCATTCATTCATTCAAAAAACAGTGCGTACCTTCTGTGCCATGCGCTGGGTTTAGTACACACAACCTTTTCATTACTGGTGTGTGGGTGACTTGGCAGGTTCTCACAAGGAGTTAGTTTCCTTCATGAAACGACCATGTAGAACTGAAAAGCCCAGTTACCTGAAATTCCTAGTCTCCGAGCACCACGTGCTTGCTCTGAGCAGTGTTGAGAGAGGCAGAAACCACAGGCAGGTGCACACTGTAGCAGGTAAACCTTGAGCTGAATCAAGGTGATGGTGACATTGTGTGTGGTGCTTTTAGATCCAAAAGGAGGCAGTAGAAGCATTATGCCATTTTAATAATTTTTTTGGTTTTTAATCCTCACCCGAGGACATTTTTGTATTCATCTTCAGATAGAGCAGGAGGGAGAGAGGGAGGAAGAGAGAGAGAGAGAAAGATCGATGTGAGAGAGACCCATGGAGTGGTTGCCACCCACATGACCCTGGTTGGGGTCAGGGACAAACTGCAACCAAGGTACGTGCCCTTAGCGGGAACTGAACTCAGGACTCTGGTCCATGAGCCAACATTCTAACCACTGAGCTAGACCGGCCAGGGCCATTATGCCATTTTTAATAGAAGAGCTAGAATGCGGTAGGTTAGCCTTCAGCCTCCAGGGGAAGATGGATTTGGGCTCCTGGTGCTTGATACTTAGAAAGGAGCTTCATATAATCAGAAGAAAAGGACCTGAAGTTCAGATCATCAGAGCTAATGTTTCGACTGTGCCCCATGGATGTGCCTCAGAGGCTACCTACTGGGTGGGAGTTGGGGGTAGGGGGTCAGTGGGTAGAAACCCGTTTTCCACTCTGAGCCCCTCTTATTTTATGTTTGAAGAAAGGGTTCTGTGCCTAACGGAAAGTTTGAAGACATGGATTAGGCCAGTTCACACATTTTACCAGTGAACAGTGAGGCCCAGACCAGGCCCAGGGAAAGCGGACGGCCATGCGGGGACGTGACCACGGCCGCGTCCCAGGGAAAGCGGACGGCCGTGCGGGGACGTGACCACGGCCGCGTCCCAGGGAAAGCGGTCGGCCGTGCGGGGTCGTGAACACGGCCGCGTCCCAGGGAAAGCGGTCGGCCGTGCGGGGACGTGAACACGGCCGCGTCCCAGGGAAAGCAGACGGCCGTGCAGGGTCGTGAACACGGCCGCACTGTGCTCCGCCGCCTGGCCCAGCAGCGCAAGCTCTACGTGGTCGTTCCGTCAGGGCGATGTCAGTTCTGACTGTGGAGCTGCCGACAAGCTGTGACAGCTACACTGGGGACGAGTGAAGACGGAGATCGGGGGTTTGTGGGAGGTTATGTCTTCATATGCCCCGATCAGGTGTTAGTGGATAATATCTAAGATTGATCAACCAAGAAAAATTGCATGGCCAACATACTATTTTAAAATGCAAAGGTAAGAAGAAAATGTATAGATGTATAAAAGAAAATGCTTAAAAAATGGAAATGAATCCCTACTGAGAGCAAGTCCAAGGGGACCGAAGGGAGGTAAGGGCTTCTGTTTTCTCTAGACGTATTCATTTTTTAACAAATTCATTTTTGTTAAAGGGATGTTGTGCATCTGTGGTCCGTGGATGCTCCCTACCTACCCTTGGTAAATAATGGCTCGTGCCTGTCAAGGAGACCATTCCCCGGAGCAGAGAAATAAGCAGGCTGCTAAAAGTGAAATTCCTCATCCATGATATAAGGACCGAGGCTTGGGAGGTCAAGTTTCTGGCAGGGTGTCCCACGAGCAAATCATGTAGGCCGCTGGCTGTTCTTTCGGCGTCTCCCTGAATTATTATTATTATTATTATTATTATTATTATTTCAGGGACAGAGCTGCCTCCGGAATGAAAGCAAGGGCCAGAGTGTGCGAAGGCTGTGGGCAGCCTGTGCTTCGCAGAGTTTCTCTGACAGTCCGTCTGTCCTACAGCATGTCAGTGCGAGCTAAGACTCGGTCCCTCACTTCTCTTTCTGACGTTTCTGTTTGAAAACAGGGAAATGCACATAAAATCATGGAGAAATGTACGTTGCCACTAACTGGGAAGCAGTGTGTGAACCGCATCATTACTGAAAAGGTAAAATGCCTTTCTCTTTTTATTTCTTCTCATGTCTGCCACCGTCTTTTTTATTTATAAGCATTTTTATTTATTTTTTAATGTTTGTATTTATTTATTTATTTATTTATTTTTATTTATTTATTTATTTTGAGAAAGAGGAAGGGAGAGGGAGAGAGAGAGAGAAACATCGATGAGAGAGAACTATTGATTGGCTGCCTCCTGCATGCCCCCCACTGGGGACGGAGCCTGCAACCTGGGCATGTGCCCTGACCAGGTATTGAACCAGCGTCTTCTTGGTGCATGGATCTATACTCAGCCACTGAGCCACAGCAGTCGGGCTATAAGTACTTGTAGAAACTTTCTTTGTTACCTTCTGAAAATGTTTTACATTGGTAGCCGTAGGATTAGTTTAATAGTATAATCTGTGGTAGACTGAATAGGGAAATCCGTAATTTAATGTTTCAAGATGTAGAATTCTTAATGTGCAACTCTCTGGAAATACACACAGGCACACAGAATTCAGCTACTGGCCTTGGTCATTTTGACTGTGATATAGTCAAAGAAAAGTTTGATTGATCATATGGTTGGACTTTAAAGGTGGATGATATATATAAAGTTAAGAATATATTTATTATTTCTACCTTTCTTCTTTGCTTTCCCAAACCACAGGTACAAAGTGTTGGGCTTTATTTTAGGAAACTCAGAAACAGGTGTTGATTGTGGGGGTGCAGACAGAACAGACCCCACAGTGGACCCCGGAGTCTCGCCCTGGTCCCCAGCCCTGTCCCCGCCTGTCCCCAGCCCTGTCTGCAGCATTTCAGTGCTCCCTAGACTGAACCCTTAGGATGCTGGCCAGAGGAACAGCTGGAAGCTTCTGCCAGGGCGCAGCCTCTCTGGCAGTTGTCTTTCTGGCCAGACTTGAACCTAGGGTGTGGGAAGGACACATTCTCAGAAGTGGGCGAGGAGGGCGTCGTCCTGATCCCCTGTCCGACGAAACCGCCTGCTCTGAGCCCCACTGTCCCCACTGCCGCCGCAGAGGGGGAGCAGAGGCCTGCAGCGGGGCCTCCGAGCGGTGCGCCCCCTACAGGCCGTGACGGGCTGGGGAGGGCGGCCTCACAGCCTGCGGACAGGGTCAAGGAGAGCTGCCAGGCGGCTTCCCATGCAGGCTTCAGCCTGTTTCGCGGGCATGTTACCGTTTGTACTTTTCCCCTCAGTTTCAGTTTCTCACTTTCTGCCTTAACATCAGCCCCGCTTTAGCCACGCTGGACGCTGTGAACTGTGTCGCATGCCCCCGACCAAGTCCTGGCACTTCGCACAGCCGTGTCTCCGTAGAATGCCCTCCGCACCCCGGCCCTCTGTCTCACTGCTTCTCATCCGTGTCTCAGCTCGATATTTCTGCCTCTGGCAAGCCTTCCCGGGCCCTCCCCAAGCCTTCTGGGGGCCTCTCTGCATCCCAGTACTTCTGACCACCTAGTGACATGCCCTCCGAGCTCTGCCATCTCCCCGTCACCGGTCCACGCTCAGCATGGTGCTCGCCCACCGCAGTGCGTGCTTGTTCACTGCTGGCGCGGCCGCCCCTGGCGTGACCCACCAGGAGGCTGGACTGGCGCGTGCAGGGCGAGGGCGCCGTCTCGTCCTGAGTACAGGCATCCGGGATTTGCATTCCGGAGGGAGATCCCCATGCTCGGCTAGCCTCCAGGCCACTGCATCTCAGGGCCCACAGGAAGGTTTCCTGTTCACCTGGAGGCGGGGCCCCTTCAGAGCCTGGCCAGCTCTTTGCTCTGACTTCCCGTGGCCACTTCAGAGCATCTTCGTCTGTTTCCTGTTAGTCTTCACCCAGCAGCACTGACCGGCCATCCCCTCCGCCGTCCCTGCGCCTTCACCTTCCAGATATCTCCTTCCTCTTTACTTTTCCTCATTCCTTTCTTTCTTCAAATCACTATTGATCATCGAATTGAAATCTTGACCAGAATTGTTAGACCTAGCCCAAGTAAAGTAGTTTTAAAAAGAACAAACCAATAACTGGTTATAATAGCAGCAAATGCCATCAATAGTCAATACCCCTCTGTTCCCTGGCATTGACAGTGCTCCATCCCTAATTGCCAATCAGGAAGCTGGCATTTATTCTTGATACAATGTAGTAGTTACGATTGACATTTCCTCCTGGCTGGCTTTCAGAGTCTTTTGTCCTGGGTCTTGTCTCTCCTCTAAGAACTTGAGAGCTCGTTTCTGTTTCAACATGTCATTGTCGTGTTTTTGGCTCCCACAGGCTGTGTTCGACGTGGACAGCAAGAAAGGGCTGACTCTGATTGAGCTCTGGGAAGGCCTGACGGTGGATGACATCAAAAAGAGCACTGGGTGCGATTTTGCCGTAAGTGTTTCTGTGAACATATCCAGCCACTTACCTGCGTCACCAGCTTGATGAATGGTGCTTACCGGAGCGCAAAGCATCCATGTGTGGTCGTTGTTGGAGTTGACCTTTGCAGAGAACAGGAGTAGAGGGAAGGGTCCAGATGAGAGCAGGTGGAAGCAGGAGCAGGATCAGGAGCTGCTGGAAACAGAAGGTCGCGTGAGCATCAGCTCTCAACTCCTCTGTGAAACCTGCAGTCAGTCCTCCACCGGGTCACGTCGGTCATAGCTGAACCCCATTAACTGGAAAACGTGAGCTGCACACAGTCGCCACTTCCTTATTTTGAAACCCATCTGTGGCTTATGAATTTCTCTCGGATTAGCTTCTATGCCTGATTATTCCATCTGTTGAAGTTATTAGAACGTTGGGCTTCTGATACCACCAAATTATTGTCACAAAATAGGTATATCTCACGTTTGAAGAAAGGCTCAGTGCCTAGAGCCCTGACTTAGAAGTAGACAAGTACAGCAGGGAGCATCTGCTTAAGAAGTCTGCAAATCCCTTTTTAAAGCAAAGAGAAAAATACTGTAATATAAATAGTTGCCCTTTAATATAAGTGCTTATTTATAAATCCACCCAATGATTGGGTGTTGAGAGGAGGGCTCAGTGCATTTGAAGTTAATCAAAAGTAGAGGTGACATGGCTTTGGGGAAAAAAAAAAAAAAAGGAAAAGAATTTGCTTCTCACCAACCTTTTAAAGATCAGAACCACTAGTTAAATGAGTATATTTGTGATGAGGGGAACGTGCAGCTGAACATCCTAGAGAAAGCAATTAACGAAACGTATTTGATAAATCACGCGTATAGTTCATCCATTTCTTCTGTAGGTACTGCATGCTTGGCTGGTATCAGTGCATAACAAATTTCCGTAAAAACCGTTTTGCTGCATAATTAATTCACATATAACTGCTTCTGGTACTGTATGAAGGTCTTTGTCTATTAACCTTTTCTGAATTTCTCCTGGGAGAAAGAAGTCTGCCAGCAATACCTTACACAAAAAGCACGTGTTTAATTACCTTTTCAGTCACCTCAGGGGATTAAAAATGGGATGTGTCTATACTTCAACTATTTAGAATTCCTTACTCCAGCGATAAGAGCAAACAATTCTTATGTAATCAGCTTTTCTTCATTTTCCCCCCCCATGTGGATGAGTTAACCTCTTCTTCAGCAGGTAGCGTATCTGAGTTCCACAGTGTTCCGTTCTCTGCCGCCAGAGAGAACATGCAAAGGAAGAACCTCAGTGTCGTCTGTTTCTCGTTTAGCCATGCCTGTAAATGAGGAATAAAAAAGACGAATTTTTACTGTTTTGCTTTTTATACATTGAAACGTATCTCAAGGGTCCCTCTTTTATTCCAGCGTCATCCCTCCTTTGCTGTTGACATTGACATGTAATCGTGTTTCCTCCAAGTGGAGCTACTGAGATGAAACAGTCATGTGTTATGTCACTGTCATCCTGGAAATGGAAAGGTGTAGCTCAGCAGAGCCGCCTTGACGAGAGAACTCGTTTCTGAGGGTCTGATGAGCGAGGGCATGTCTTTAGACCCTGGCGGGTGAAACCCCACCTAGTGGATCGTCTGTAAGGCCAGGGATGGAGCTCTCTGATTAATAAAATATCCTGCTCAGTAGCTACGTCATCAAGGAGCTGCATTTAATACTAAAAGACTTTGAGCACAATATTTCTTCATTTGCTAGTTCAGAAGGTGTTCTGCGTTATAATTCCCCTGGCGGCATAGGTAGCCTTTTCCTCCACGTGTGGCCGCACACAAGTGACTCAAGCTTCCCCCTTGAGGAGAAGCCTGCTCAGCCATCGCTGTATAACAGAGAGAATATTCTAGAAGGGAATAGCCAGGTTGTTGCATAATAAAGAAAAAAAAGGTGAAAACTTAGGTCAAAGTAATTGTGAAAATGTGTTGGTAAAAGTCCCTTGTACCTAAGAATATGGGCAAGTGAATGGCTAGTTATGCAGCATGTGGCTATAAGCTGATTGAGAAAATACTGAGAATTTCAAAGAAAAAGATGAAATATGACAGCATCAGATAACAGGTCATGGCAAAATTGTAGTTTCTGGGTATTAAAAAATAATCATCATGATGAACTGTTGGGGCACTGATAACAAAAAGGATCGCGAAGGCTCTGCTGCAGACCACAGTGAGTGAGCAGCACCGGAACAGGTGGACGGGAACCGCGTCCTTTACGTGTTGGCTGAAACAGCTTCTTAAAAAATATGTTAAAGATCAAACAAATGAATGATGAGTTATGTTCATGACATGGTGTCCGTTGAAAGGAGGTATTTTCTTTTCGATTCATAGGAAAGTCTGTTAAGAGTCATATATACCTGTGACTCCAAAGGAGGCTATGGAAATTTTGTCATAGAAATGCAAATAACTGGCTGTATTTCTGGAACCTCCATCACACTCCCAAAATAATAAACCGCTCGAGAGTAGTTCACGACAGGAGGAAACCATTTATAATGGACAGAGATCTCGTTCCACATGACCACTCGCCTTCAAAATGTGGTTGCTATAAAGAAAGGGCCTTTCTTCTGTGTTCCTGGGGTGGGGTTCTGAATCTGTTGAGAGAGAGGAAGGAGCCAGGCAGGTAGGGGTGAGAATATCACTGTTCCGACAAAGGCAGGGGAGGGCATGGCTTAGGTGGACAGCCACCGCGATGGGAGGTCCTTCAGCTCCCAGTTGAGGCAGCATTGGAAAACCACAGGCTTTCTGCACAGATGCACCTGTGCTTCTGAGCCTCTTTCCACGTGGCTGAGAGCACACAGTGATGCTCCCTACAGAAGGCCATGAAATGTCAATAAAATACAACAGATCGGTACAGTTCCCACTCCCAAGGGTCAGGGTCTCATTCTCCAGGCAGAAATACACCTAAACCACCAGTGGCAAAACATTAAATAAGAATACTGCTGATTTATATGTTTGCAGTGGAATCGGACGAAGCCAGCTGCCCAGTTAAATAAATTTATACTCTCAATATCTATTATGAACTGGCATTCTATCAGAGTTAAACAGGATACTCTTGGGGTCTCGGTGAACTGGGAAGACAAATCTCTGGCTTATCTTCTACACTTGAAGTATATCGTTTATGCTTAGCCAGTAGATCACCTTTGCAAGAGAATCTGCAGCTTGCAAGGGTTTTCAGTGTTAATGAGACTGAGAGAACAGAATGAAAAATAGTGGGTTCGTAGATGTTTTTCATTAAAAAATAGAGAGATGAAGTCAATCACTGTAAAACTTCATCTTCTGATAAAAGTCAGTTTTCATTGAGGCTATAAATGAAATTAAGAGCCCAAAATAGGTCCAACATGACAAGAAAATGGATCAGATGTTTAGTTTAGGAAATTAAGGTGTTTCTTTTTAAATGAAATTCTATTAGAAATTATGTTTTAAAAAAAGCAGTTTTATTTCATTAAATTCTTTCCACAGATGCTCTGTTGTTTAAAAAAAGAAAATGGATTGCTCGTGAGACACGCTTTCTAAATACTCAGAGTCCTTATGTCTTTTATTATTTTCAGGAGAGTTGAAGTTCTGTGCAAATGTGAACTGTGACTTTTGTCTATTTATTAGATGTCTACTGTTTTGTCTATTATTATGCATCTATTCTTGGACCTAGCAAATCTGAATGAGCTCTCATTTATTCTAAGCCATATACCAAGGCACACTGATCCTTTTTATTCTGACCATACCATTCTTTTAGCAGAAAAATAGAAAGGGGATATTAACTCTTGGCATTGTGAAGAGTTAATACAGAAATACTTTATTTTTTTATCCATTTTTTGTTCAGATAGAGTGGGAGGGAGAGAGAGAGAGAAAGAGAAACATCGATGTGAAAGGGACACATCGAGTGGTTGCCACCCACACGACCAACCAGGGCCGGGGACAAAATGCAACTGAGGTATATGCCCTTAGCAGGAACTGAACGCGGGTCTCTCTTGACCGCAGGCCAACGCTCTAACCACTGAGTCAAACCGGCCAGGGCGATACAGAAATAATTTATAAATGAACTAAAAATATTTACCTGATCAAGCCCAAATAATTGTCCACTCCTTCTATTTGTAATACTGACTTAACCTGTTAGAAAGCTTCCTTCCAGTTCTCTGAAGTGTATCTAATCCACTCATTTGTTCATTTGTTCATTCATTAATTTAACAAACTATTAGCTGTTTATTCTGGAATGCAAAAGGCTGTCGTCGGCCCCAATTCAACCCAACAGGAATCCTCAGTTTGGGGTGCGGTGAAGAAGGAAACTTTATTCAGTACTAATAGCTCAGTTGTGATACAGCGGGACAGTGGGGCAGCCCTGGGGCCAGGCTCCTCTCCCGCCAGACAGCTCTGCCCTGCCCCTGCCAGTCTGCTATGTGCTGCTCCGCTCTGCTGTGCTTTGGTCTCCCCCAGTCTGTGCCAGTCTGCTCTGGCTTGCACTGGTCTGCTCTGCTTTGCTCTGGTGATGCATCTTCCTTATCAGCTCAACCGGGGGTCCCTGCCCCTGGTCTCTGACTGGTCTGTCCTCATGCAAATGAGGACTCCAACTCTTCACAGTTTGATTGGTCCAAAAGGCACTGCCCTGATTGGTCAGAATAGAGCCACTCTGGATGGTCCGAGTTGTGCTGCTGTGGTTGGATGGGGAAAGCCCCCGCCTGTTGGTTACAGAGGATTCCGGGAAGTCCTGTGTTCTAAGGGCTGGCTCGGGGCAGAATCACAGTGCAGGCGGCAGCTCAGTGCAGGCTTCTCCCAGAGGGGCAGTTTGTGTGAGAAGCCCCTGGGCAGAAATGGCTGCTGGGCTCTGCGGTTTTTGGTATTGTTGTTTGTGGGGGGTTTTTTGAGCCCAGTTAGCCACCAGGAGCCCTTCTTTTTTCTTCTTTAAAATATATTTTATTGATTTTTGTTTTTGTGGGGCGGACGGAGAGAGAAACATCTATCAGCTGCCTCCTGCATGCCCCCTACTGGGGACTGAGCCCACAACCTGGGCATGTGCCCTGACCAGGAATAGAACTGGTAACCTCTTTGTCCATGGCTCAACACTCAACCATTGAGCCAGCCACACCAGCTGGGCTGGAGCCCTTCCTAGTGGCATCTTCTTTCTCAAGGTCCACACTAGTTCGTTCCACTTCCATTGCCACATTCTTGAGGGACTCAGATTTTAATATTTCTCAATTTTAGTATTTTCTACTCTGCATTCCATGGGGGGCTGTGACTTACTAGGACTTGGTGGATATTTGCCCAATTGAATAAAAAATCTGCACCTGGCATTACACCTTGAAAGATCTGTGAAAATGAAGCCTCTTACATTTAGGCTCCTTCCACCATTAGATACAGACCTGTGCTACTCTGTCTCTGCTTCGAGACCTCCAGGAATGCACCTGCTGTCCCATACATTGAACATAAGTATAGTCAACGTTTGATATTTTTAATGCTGTTCCCTCTTTTTTTGTAATAACTTGGAATCTTTTTACTGCCTTTATATCATTTTCATTCTGAGTATGACATTTCTGATCAAACTTGGTCATTGACCACACATCTCTTCATTAGTCCAGGGTGTGGCAAAAGTAGGCTTACAGTTGTGAGTATGCAAAACCGTTGATTTTTTTTTTAAACATTGAAGAATCTTACTTTTTTTGTGTGTGTGCTACGTGCCCCTAGCAGGAACCGAACCCGGGACTCTCTGGTCCACAGGCCAAAGCTCAACCTCTGAGCCAAACTGGCCAGGGCAAAACCGTTTATTCTTGTAGTTGTTATTTACTCTATCATTTTTCCATATGAACAACTGTAAACCCCCTTTGGCCCCGCCATAGGAGGTAACTGTATGTATCCAGTTAATCCAAAGACTACGTGACGTGTCTCTTACCAAATCTGTGAGTGGACTGGATCTGTCCTGCGGATTCCGAGACATGTGCCTTGACGTCAGTTTGCAGTGAGGTCGCAGTGGTCGCCTCAGCAGAGAGCTTGGTTGTCTGGACCCTGTGTTTGTCTCCCTCTGCCCCCCCCACCTTGTTTCGATCTTAACGAGCCTTAATCCAGGAGCTCTGGTGGCAGGACGTTAAGAACTGCTCAGTACACACAATGTGAGCAGGAAGCAGCCCGCGTCTCGGTTCAGGATGGAAAACATGAGATTCCCCGATGTTCGTGGACAGGCTGCGTGTTGCCTGGACCCTTCAGGTGTGGAAACGGAAGGGAAAGGTGTTGCTACCATGATGTTTTTATAACCTGGTCATTTTGTTTTCTCTTTCTTTTGCCAGGTCTCCCCGAAACTCATGCCAATGCAGCAGGTCGCGATCTGAACCGTGGGGTGGACGTTTGTCCCCGCCGCGCGTGTCCACGTCCCCACGCAGGGTTTCACTACACGGTCATCCGCAATCAGAACTGTATATTGAACGAGCGATTTTTCACTGGATGTTTCTGGCGTTCACGCTTGGCGCGGCCTGTTCTCTCAAGCATGCTTTGATGTTTTAATGAAAAACGGAGAGGAAAAATACATATTACTGTGTATTTGTTTTATAAGTGCTTAGAAGGAAGTCTTTACAATTGGTGCTCACTTTGGGTTCTTCTCCGTTTTCTGTGGTACGTACAGTGAGTTGGGTGCAGTTTGCATGAAGATGGGCCCATAGGAGGAGTTTCTCGGATGCGCTTTCTCTCCTAACAAAATTGTGGGGGAAAAAGTGAGGGAGAAAAGCGCCCCCCCTTCCCCCCACACACACATACCTAGATTATACCCGAGGTCACTGTGCTGCATCCTGAAAGGCAGCATCTAGGTGATTTGATCAGGAGCAGTGCTGTCTTAACTGATTTTACTCCGGCCTCCTCCTCCTCTCGAGCCTGGAGAGAGCGGTTCCGTCCCGTTTCCTAGAGCACCTCTCTTCCTCCCACACTTCCTGTAACTAACTAGATGCGGACGAGGAGAGCGGGAGCATCTCTGTGGGAGGAGTAGCTGGTTCGCAGGAAAGACGGGGCCTGTCGGTGCTGACATCCTCCAAAGGTTGCCTTTTTGCAAACCAACCAAGCAGCCATCTGCGCTGTGCTGGGGCCTCACGCTCTCTGCCCTCATTTTGAGGCGGTGCAGGGTCCGTGTAGATCCAGGAGGTCCTCGAGTCTGTCTCTGCGTTGGAGGACCAGTGGGCCCCTCGAACAACACCTGCTCTTAAGCCAAGAAGGGCTGTGGGATAACTGATCACGAATCCACAGTCACAATGGACACACGCGTGTTGGGTTTGGTATTGTTTTTGTCTCCTCTTCTCAAGCTCTCTTATTTCTGGTCAGAGAAGTCTCTAAATATGGAGTGCCTTTTTCTACAGAACAGTGCTGTTCGGCCAGGCTTCTTCCTCGAACAAAGTGCTTTTCATTCAATTCTATGCAAATAACGGCTGAGCAAAGCCATGCTTTGAAGAGCAGCGAGTGAATTTTTATTAGAAAGTAAACATAGTGGATTAGGTTTTATAAGGAACTTCTTTTCAGAGGAATCCTCAGTACCAAAGAGTTGCCAGGGGTAACCAAGCATCCTGGGTACCCAACGGGGCAGAAAGTCCCGGCACCCTGAGGTCAGGCCAGACTGCTGACCACTGGGCAGAGGCGGGCATAGTGGACACAGTTCGTTCCTCTGCTCCAGGTGGAGGACTTGAGGCATGTTTTTGGTGATGGTTGTCACTGAAACTCACTTTCTCTTCATTACAGCTACAGTTGGAACATGCACAGTATTAGAGGGATGAGAGAGGCTTTGCTTTTCTTTTTTTTTTTGAGAATCACACTCCATATATAAAATAGTCTTTTCTACTGGCTTCATGATTGAAAGCATACTCTCCCAGTACTGATAAAGTAGATTCATTTTAGCATTTATGAGGTCTATAGAATAACATATATCTATGTTAGAGTTATGACTTGGAAAAATGTGTGTTATTGATTGCTGTATTGGTAAACCTACTTGCTTATCATTCCAGTCTGTTACTGTAAGATAATGTGTTTCTAAGAATGTTCCCAGCTTTGAATGGCAAAACCTAAGTAGATGACTTTATATTCTCGATTAAAGAGTGCCATGGATATTCAGAAAGGTAATAAGAAGTACAATAAACACTCTAGATTGATGTAGATTGGTGTGATGGTCTTGTTTCTCACTGGGGAATGCTGTGACAGAGTTGGTAGCATGGCCAGCAGAAGTCAGCACACTGTTCTGCTTCTAATCAAGTTGCTGCCTTTCTTAAAAAGAACAAAGACATCTTCCTTGACAAAAGAACATATGAATGTTTACCTAAATGAATTCTGCACTTTGCTCCTCATCAGAGCTAATCGTTTGTCTATGAAAATGGATTATCCCAGGCTTCAGGTGTTAAATTTTTTGTCGTTGTTGCTTTTATCTAACATTTCTTTAGGAATCACACACATCAGTTAGTTTCCTGCGTGCACAGACTCTAATGCTAGTCTGCCTGGCATCTGTGTTACCTCTCTGGGAGGAGACTCTCCCCGTCCAAGGATTGGGTGTGCTCAGGACATGGAATTTTTGGGTAGCTCTCCTCTGTCCACAGTGGTCAGGGGTAGATGACCCAGGATGTACCGCTCAGATTGCTTCTCCCATGTTTAAAAAATGAAAATGAGAGAGAAGCCAATTTACTCACTCCTTTCTGGTCACTGAGCCATGAGGAAGTGAGTCTGATACCAATACCTCTTCTCCCCTTCGCACCCCCAATCCCAACACACCCTGCCGGCTGAGCTCCAGTTGGAGAGAGAGACGCTGAAACATAAGGACGTTGAGCCCTGGGAGGGGGTGTCCTGATGGCATCTGGGTTCCTGGTTCTGGGTGTGTCTAGGACCAGCTTCCCCCCAGCTATCCCTGTCCATGAGCCCACACATGTCTCTGAGCAGGGCCTTTGTCACTGACCACCGGAGTGTGAACTCAAACTCTGTGATTCCTGAGTCCTAGGAAGGATCTGGTCTCCTGTGGAAGTTAGGTAGAATATTAAGACCGTTTATAGATGGGTAGTAAGGTTGTGGGTAAAGGTTTTCTTCCTCTTACGATTTCAGTATAGGAACAAAACTTTGAAAATTATTCCAATGGAAGTATGAGCAGAGATTCGTTCACGAATGGGTTTCTCTGCACCAACCTTCTCCCTTTCCTCACGGGGTGTGGTCTTGAGTTTCTTAAGCTTATTTTCAGATTCTCCATCTTTCAAATGGAGAAAACTGTTTTCTATCATGGTTCTCTAAGATGTAATTAATACATCTGGTTGTGAAATACTGATAGATCTTTTTAAAATGCTTTACCATAATATCACCTTGGGCCAGAATTGTCCACTTTTCTGTCCTTTTATTTGTCACCGTCTACACTGCCTCCGCACCTAAGGCCATAGGCATAAATACCAGTAAATGTGTATTCTGAGTGCACATCTGTGTGACGTATACCTGAGGTCTCCTGCTTCCATAATGTTATTTGTGTCTGAGTAAAATTATCTAAAGACACCAAACACCCTTTATGGACCCCACAGCAATTCCTACGAGTGTGATACCTGCACTGACCCGGGTAACTAACTGATAAGAGAATTCCTTTCCTTAAAGCTACAAACACAAGACACTTGGTTGTGGAGGTTAAATATGTTTGATTGTCGTGGTCATCACTACCTTTTAATGGGTGCCACTCTGGACAGTTCACTTGGAAATGACCCTGGGCCACTACCCTGACTCTTCTGTAGCACGACCACATGAAGTCCATAGCAGACTCTCCTTCCGTGGACGTGTGGGAGCTCAGCTACCCAGTGTCATCTGTCTCCGGCATAGGCTTCCCCTCTCTAGCCCTTCAACATTTTCAAGAGAAAGTTGGGGGATGGGAGGTACATTTCCCACTTGGCCTTCTTGAAGTTAGGGTGCCTGGCAGCTCTCTTTACATCTTCTCATAAATCCTTTCATCTCCAGTTACCAACTCTTCCGCGTGCATCATGTGAGGAAGAGTTTAAGAGTTGACGGACTACTTCTAGGCCAGATTATTTCAAAGTGCATGCATAGTGGCCTCCCTTAGAATGTAGCAGACTGTGTGTGTGCATGCGCGCACGTGTGTGCTAGCATCTTGTATTAGTATAGCAATTCCATGATTTGCTCCTGGTAGGTTTCCAAGTATGTTTATTGAATCCATTTAGTAGTGGAAACATGAAGTGATAGTCGGCCAGGTCGGAGGATTTCCCGCGGCCACGTGACGAGGCGCGGCCTCTCCGAAGGGCTGGGAAAGGGAAGAGAAAGGAAGGAGGTGGCATCTGGAGGCTGCAGCAGAGGAACACCGGCCTGCAGTGACTGCTCAGCCTTCTGTAGTTCACAAAGCCTCTGAAAGATGCCAGCTTATCTTTTTTCATTCTCACAATGTTCTGCCGGGGAGACATTATTATCTCCATTAAAATTAACTTCGTTAGTCTGAGATAAGTAATGTCCATTCCTTCTTTAATGAAGTCAGGCTATCAGGGATAACACCGGATTTTGCCAGGGTAGTTCATGAGATGAGAATTAAATCCCTTGAACAGAGCTGGATTGGTTACTCCGGTGAGCTATGAAACACAGTCCCAAACCTGCAGATCCAATGGGACAAGTCCTGAGGATTTGTTCCCCCTGCCCGCACAGCTCTTGTGCACAACCTAGTTTATAAGGAAATGTGGAGTTGTCAAAATAAAAACACTAATGGCACCTACCAGGCAAAGGACCCTGAGGAAGACCTGCCGTTACGGGGTGTGCAATTGGCCATAGGGAAGCGTGCTCAAATGACAAGCTGCAGAGGCTGATGGACACGGTGCCATCTCCGTGTTTGAATGCCTTTCTGCAATTTGCTTTCATTGGCATAACCTTTGCCTATGTTCCAAGTTCAAGTTGTGGCTCGGACTCTTCCAGTTTACCCTGGAGATAAGGCTGATATTGGTGACCTGAAGATACGTGTTATGGGTGGCACGGAGAGAGTATCTCTCAGCGAGATCTAGTGCCGTTCCCTTCACCAGAGAACACAGGGCCCGTGGAAAGAGGAAAACTGGTCACAGCACTCAAGTCTGTGGAGCTTATGGGGGCGGGAAGGTATTAAGGTCATCAAGACATGTGCTGGATGAGAATCTTTAATTGTTGCTATTTCTTTGAACATAAGACCGTCACTTTTTTCTATTATAGCAGAAACATTGAACATGACATTTACCCTCTTCACAATGTTGTTACCTGTGCAATGTAATGCAGCAGATTTCTAGAACTCATTCATCTTGTATAATGGAAACTTTTTACCCATTGAACAGCAGCTCCTCATTTGCCCTCACCCCAGCCCCTGGCAATCACTGTTCTACTCTCTGTTCCTATGAGTTTGACTGTTTTAGATGCTCATATGAATGGAGTCATGTGGTATGTGCCCTGTGACTGGCTCATTTCACTTAGTGTAATGTCCTCTAGGTTCATCTTTATTGGCACATACAACAAGATTTCCTTCTTTTTATGGCTGAAAGTATTATATTGTATGTATGTACCAAGCTTTCCTTATCCATGTATCTATTGGTGGACGTTTAGGTGTTTCTATAACTTGACTATTGTGAATTATACTGCACCGAATGTGGGAGCACTAATATCTCTTTGAGATCCTGATTTCTCCTCCGTTAGACCTATACCTAAGAGTGGGATTGCTGGGCCACATGGCCCTCTGTTTTGGGGGGAAACTTCACACTGCTTTCTATAGCATTTGCACCATTTTGCATTCCCACCAACAGTATACAAAGGGGTCCACTGTGTTCACGTCTTTGTCAACACTAATTTTTTTATAATAGCTGCCCTAATAGGTGTGAGGTGATACTTCATTGTGGATTTGATTTGCATTTTCCTGATGATTAGGATGAGCAACTTTTCATATACCTGCTGGCCATTCGTAATTTTCCTTGGCCCTGTTTTTTTGTTTGTTTGTTTTGTTTTTGTTTTTTTTTCAATCCTCAGCTGAGGATATTTTTCCATTTATCTTCAGATTGAGTATGAGGGAGGAAGAGAGAGAGAATCAATGTGAGAGATATATTGATTGGTTGCCTCTGCACGATCCTGACCAGGGTTGGGGACTGAATTGTCACCAAGGTACATGCCCTTGACCATAATCGAACCCACGACTCTTCGGTCCATGGGCTGACACTCTAGTTGCTGAGCCAAACCGGCCAGGGCCCTTTGCCCATTTTTAAATTGGGTGATTTAAATGTTTCCTATTGAATTGTAGGAATTTCACACACACACACACACACACACACACACACACACACACACACACACAGCTGCACTTGTCTGTTTTTGCTTTTTCTGCCTGTGCTGTTAGGGTCATATCCAAGAAGTTACTGTCAAGACCAAAGTTCAGAAGCTTTTCTCCTTGTTTTCTTCTAGAAGTTTTCTAGATTCATGGTGTATGGTTAAACCAGTCATTCATTTTGAGTTATTTTTACGTATAAGTTAAGGGTCTAATTTCACTCGTTTACATATAGATATTCGGTTTTTCCAATATCACTTGTTGAAGAGACTTTTCTTTCTCCATTGTGTGTTCTTGGCAGCCTTGTTGAAGACCAGTTGACCATATATGTGTGGGTTTATTTCTGGGCTTTTTGTTCTACTTCATTGATCTATATATCTGAGGACACAATCAATTTTAAAATACATGATGATTTTATTTTCTTTTTTATCATATACATTTTATTGTATACATATTAAAAATTTTTAGAGTTTCCTCAGTCTCAGATGAGTTTTGTTTTTATATTTAAAACAAAAAAGGTCAATAATAGATGCAGTAAATTGCCCAAGAAAATCTACCTGTCTTAAAGTTGGTGCATTTACAATCCAGGGGATTCTCATTGACAAGAGGGTCAAACTTTCCGAGGGACAGGTTGGGGCGGGGATCCGGTCAGGAGGAGGGTGTGAAGGAATGGAGGTGCCTGCTTCTCACAGGGCAGTGCGGCTGCCGGAGGTGGCAGGAAGGAGCCCAGACAGTTGTGTGAGATGCATGTCAATTTCAGAAATGATAAAATGTGGAAAACTGTTCATCTTAGAATCAATGAATTGGAGGAGATCCTCTAAGGCCTGTCTGAATTAGCATAACATCTGATTTAAGAATATTTTAA